AGGTTTAAGACATCCTTTTCTTCATTCTGATCTATTGGTTCATTGATACGAAATATGTGTAGGAGATATTTAGATCACACTACAACTATCTATTTAGTTTTTTTTTATCTTCTTTGTTCTCTATTTGCAAGTTTTGTTGCTTTGTTATTTAAGTGGGTGTTAGCACTATTTTGTGTAGTTGTGTAACTCTTTTTTGTACTATTTGTTAATCATAATAGAGTTATTTCTTTGATTTGGATGACTTGTGGCTTTTACCATTTGTTTTGTCGAGTTGTTCACAGTAAAAATCTTGATGTCTTTGTTTATAATTTTGGTGATTTATTATTGTTGTTCATTGGTAATTGCTCCTTATAGATTCTTACAAGTTAGGGAGAATTATATATATTGCATTCTCTAGTATTTTTGCTTTTGTTGTTGTTTTTCCATTAGAGTGGTATCATAGCCGATAGTCAATCTTGGTGACCAATTCATACAAGTATAGTAAATGAAAAAGTTGAACATCATATAAAATAGAAGGTCCATAAACGCATTGTCTTTAAGATTTTGGATTAGAGATGATGTCAATTCCTTATGTAGGTTGAGCTTAAGTCTCATTGTTGTTGTGTCTCCCATTTAATTCTCCCTTCGACATACCCATTAAATTGAAAATTCAAGTATGAATTTAAGTTCACATTAAATAAAAATGATAAAATTGAACATCGTTATCTTAAAGTTTTAAGTTGAAGATAGTGTAAATTGCTTATAATCTTCCAACAAGTTTCAAAAAACTAAAGCATCAATGTCATTAATTTTGAAAATATGATATAATATTCTTATTTTGAGCAAGTTTATATATATATATATATATATATATATATATATATATTATCATTAACATAGATAATTAAAGTTGTGAAAGAATTATAAAAAAAAGAATATTCTAAAACATATAAGTGTCATTGTTTTACTTTAATCCATATAAGAATCTCTAGAGTTTACTAACTTTAACAAGTTTGGATGGATTTGTACCACAAGTAATGGCATATAAATATTGTCTTTAAGATCATTATGAAAACATTATTAAGATTAAGTTGTTCAATTATAAATTGTTAATAAGATTATCAATCATAAGATTAAGTTGTCCATTTTATTGCTTTGTGAATATGAATGATGTTGAAATTTTTTAACAACATTCCCTACATCTACCATATTATTAATAACCTTTTCTTGAGCTTTATAAAGCCTATAAGAAAGAGGTAAGCTTGTTTTTTTATAGTAAATTGTCACTAATATCATAGTATTTACAAACTTTGTAATTTTTTTACATTTTCTTCCAAAAAAAATACCCACTCAATCAGATAAAAAAATTAGGAGAATAATCATTCTTGCCAAAAGAAAAAGAAAATGTTTTATGGTGTGATATTCTTTACAACTAGTTAGAAGAAATACCATATCATGAATGTGAATTGGTAGCTTTAATCAGAATCACATCTTCAAGAATATTGAAACCAGTAATTTGTCTTTCTTATTGTACTACAAAAGAAAACACTTAGTTATTGAAGTTAAACATATAAGAAAATGAATTACTTGATCTTGTATTTTTCTTTGCACCACAAATCAAGTGCATTAGAGAACATTTATCATCACCAATATATAGAGGGTCAAGCTTGTGATTTTCTAATTCATCTAATATAATTCTTAGTTTAGTGAAAACAGTCATTATTATAGTGTCAACTTGTTTGATTGATGTTAATTCTTGTTAAAGATAAAAACAAAAAGTCCTAAATAAATTCCATTGAGAATATTGTGACCTAAAATCCTCATATACCATGATATCTCACCATATGGTTGCATCACTTCCAAACTCAAAATAAGGAATTATTCAAAACTAGTTGATGGTAAAACTAAGTTGTAGCAAATTTTGTTTAGGATGCAAATAACATGAACTACAGATATTCAAATATTGATCAATTTTAAAATCTATGTTAAAAAAAAAGGAAAAAGTAATAACCTTAACAATATGAAAAACCCTAATTGTAGGAGAATTCCTCAAATGATATAAAATAACAACGATATCATAGTTGAAGAGAAAATAAAATAAAAAATCAATAAAGGAAATACTAAATCTATTTTATTATATGTATCTCTAATGAGTTAAGATATCAAAATATATGGTAGAAGGTGTCGTAGGAAAAAAAAAGTAGGTAGACACTATTCTCATCACCCCCTAAAATTTAAGATATTTTTATTAATATGTTATTTGAAAACTTTAATACCAACATATATCATGTTATATAGGGTCTTTATGTAAACCTATCACATATAGAGGAAAAAATATAAAAAATTTAATTAACTTTTTTATGAATTAAAATTAACTAAATATGAATTAAAAGTAATCTTTAAAAAATAATATAAAAAGGTTTTACAAATTAATTCATACATAAATTAATTTTAACCTTTTTTTTTGCTTTTTTAAAACATGTTTTCAAAATGAGTGATGCTTCCTCTACTACCTTATCTTCTCCCTCTACCTCCCCAATTCTTTTTAAATTCTAAATTTATCCTTCAGCAAGTCTTCACTCCATTGACACTTTCTCTTAATTTTCACTCACGTTAACACAAAATTTGACAGGAAAAGAAAATTCTGCATGGTATAAATTTAAAACATTTATAACTTCTGGTGAGTTTTGAAGTATCATGATTCCATAATATAATCTGCTAAAAGTTTCTTCCCCATTTCCTTGTCTTTAAATAACCAAACTTGAAAATCTATGCTTAAAATTATATTTGTGCTTACAATGGTGCAATGAAAGAGAAGTATGTTTGTTGAGTACAAAATAAAAAGTGAATAAAAGAAAAAATAATTAGTTCAGTTTATCTTCTTCTCTTTTTGTCAAATTTTGTGTTAACCGAAGTGTAAATTAAGAGAAAGAGAGAAAGTGAAAGTGACAGTGGGAGATGGAGGCTTGCTGCTGAGAGTGAAAGAGAAAGTGAAAGTGAGAGGGGATTGAAATTAGGGTTTTAAAAAATAAAAAATAAAATTGGTAAAAGTAAAAAGTAAAAAAGATAATTTAGAATTTAAAAAAAAAATTGAGAAAGTGTAGGGAGAAAATGAGGTGGTGGAGGCAGCATCACTCTTCCAAAATATATCCAGAAAGTCCAAATTAAGATAGGTAGGCACAAATCTCCATCGGCGAGTGTAGAGACCCATCTGCTTTATATTAAAATTGGGCCTTGTCAAAATTTATGAACTCTTCTTGGGTGTTGCTCCCTCCACCACCACACCTTTCTCCCTCCACCTCTCATTTACTATTTTGCCCCTAAGTAAAATTTTATTTTTAGGGTTATTATTTTTTAATTTTACTCATTCATAACCTATTTCACTAATAACCTATTCTAGTCCCCCGTACATGAGTAAAATACTTTTCTTTCATTTTAACATTATATTTCTTCATCTCTTTCTTTCGTCGCTGTGAGATACTACAAGTTGCAAAGGTTGGTGGTGGTGGAAAGAATTATCAAGCAGTCTCCCTCTCGTGGTGCAGTGTCGCTCTCGTGGTGCAGTGTGTGAAGTGGTACAGTGCGTGTGTTGCTTCTTAAGGTACGTATTGGAATAAACCTTCAAATAAAACCCTAAAATAAAAAACGTAACCTTTAAACGGAGGTGACATCCTTCAACGGATGTCAACATCCTTCAACGGATGTCAACCTCCGTTTAAAGGTTACATTTTTTATTTTAGGGTTTGTTTTATTAGTTTCTTCTTTATTTTGGAAATATTTTAATAATTTAATTTAAATGTTTTGATTTATTATTTTTGAATATATTTTTAATGTATTTTAATAATGTAAGGAAAATGAAGAAGAAAGAAACGGAGGAGGAGAAATGAAACGGAGAAGACAAGGAGAACTAGGTTTAAAATAAATTAAAATAGTAAAAGTAAAAAATTTTAATCTAAAGATATAATTGGAATTAAAAAGAATTGGAGAGGTGGGGGAGAAAGATGTGGTGGTGGACGGAGCAACACCCACTCTTCTTTGAGTTAGGTTTGAAAATTTTGACCCATTTTATTAGAAAACATCAGTAAGCCCAAAATCTAAAATGTCATTTCTTTTTGCACCCCATAGTTTTCGTGTGCACTTACTTGTATGGAAGTGATTAAAAGACTAAACTTTCAAATTACAGAATTTAAAAGTCAAAAACAAACTTGGAATGGGATAATTCAAAATATTTTTTTTATGTGAAAACCAACTTAGATTTTAGAATAAAAAAAAATTAAAGATAAAGGGAAAATTTTCGTACTTTTATGTCCATAAGAAAAATATGCGGGTTCAAGAAGAAAAGGTCAATCTAAAAACGCTGTGTTTCTTCTCTCTATTTTTGGTACGTTATGAAAAATATTTTATAACTTCACGAAAAAAATTATTTAAAAAAATCCTCAATAATTGTATAGCTTTTTGAAAAACAGACAAATTAAAATTTGAAATCGATCGTTTATTTTAACAACTTTCTAAAAATTGTTCTATTGAGTTTCTAATATACTTAAAATTTAATATTTTGCTATAAACATTTTTATTTCACCGATTAAATACCACATTTTATAAGCAGCCATGACATGACTCGCTCTTCACTTTTGGGAAAAATTGTACACTTCTTTTCCTTTAAATAAACAACCGTTACTTCCAAGGTAACTTGCTTCTAATCTGTTTGTTCCAATGCCACAACCAAGAAAGTTACCATTTATAGCTCAAGCTACTGCAATTGAAATCTAGAGCTTTAACCTAAGGCATTTTTATGATATGCTTTTTTCAAAGCGATTCAATCAAAGCATTCTGAGAACGGTAGATAGGAATGATTTATTATTGGTGACCCCATGGCTGAATCCATGCCAACAAAAGGACAAGTAAAGGATGTCTCACCCACCTCATAGCATCTCAAAAAGATGTACCCAAAAAGGAATCAAAATCTTGAAAAGGGTCATCTTCAAATTAATTATGCAGTTCTTAAATCTGCATTAAAGATATCATAGCAAGAGGTTATTATAATTCTCAAATGGGTACACCAAAATACTTCCTCATATTAATCATATGATATTTCATGGACCGCATGGATCCTATAGACAACACAAAATAGTGTTGAACCAATGATCAACACTTGTATAATTTATGATGATCATCACTCGGTTATTAAGTACACCAGCAACTTGATCAAACCACATACTCATGCATTCAAACTTGATAACTTGAAAGAAAAGGAAAAAAACTTAGGTGCTACTAAATAGGTAGAGGGTTCTATGGGCACTTGTATTTGTTGCCATGAGTCAACATATCAGTGTAGCATTTGCCACACTTTTCTCTGTTGCCGTAAGTTCCAGGAGGAACACATTTGCAACGGTAACAACAGGTCAAGCATGCCCTCATGCACAGCTTCTTCCTTGAGTGCAATTGGCACCTACCATCACACAGTGGAAGGCAATCTGAAAAGAAAAAATGCAGAGAAAAAGCCTTCAGTAGTTACATCAGTGTATCTCAGTTAGCATTTAAAAAGAATGTCACATGAACAGAGGTTCTCTCACATGCATCATGAGATGTGAGATTGACTCACATTCAGATCAGGTTTTTCATTGACCACAAAACCAAATTTGACAAGTACTTCTGACTAATATATAATTACAAACATAAGGTGGATTGTTTGTTTATTCCTAAACATAATCAATCAATTTTAATCCATGTCATGTTGAAAGTACACTGACCAAAACTCATTGAAAAAAGTCACAAAAATCATATCATTCAATTACAATACAATAGACACTGTAAAAAAGTTCTGAGAAACATACCCTTAATTGACTTCACTATTGGTGATGGAGGAGGAGGGTAAACCACTGGGGGTGCTGGTGTTGGTGGCTTCACTAGTGGGGGTGTTGGAGCTGGTGGTTTCACTTGTGGTGGTGTTGGAGCTGGTGGCTTCACTTGTGGTGGTGTTGGAGCTGGTGGCTTCACTTGCGGTGGTGTTGGAGCTGGTGGCTTCACTGTTGGGGACTGAGGAGGGGGTACCTTAACAGGAGGTGTAGCTGGACTTGGTGTGGTCACTGGCCCCGGTGGGGAAGGAGTTGGTACCTGCAGTGGTGGTGCAGGTGAAGGTGCAGAAACTTTAAAACTTACATAGTTCATCTATACCAAATGCCATGTTCAAATTTCTCAAACATTAAAATTCATGTATACATGCTAATGTGTACACACTGATGCATCCACCTTAAAAGTTGACACAGATTAAGTGTGTAATTGAATAAAAGTTTGGTGCTTAAGTTTGACTCAAAACTATGCTTGAAACATAGTTTTCAAAAACAAATCAAGACTTGCTTTTACAAAACTTCAGTTAAGATTATGGTGTCTCAAAACTATAGTAACTCGCTAAACTGAGTTTAGGATGTCTCAGACTGAAAATCAAACATTGTTGAAGTGTTTTTGATTGCTGTTGAGACCAGCTGAAGCTGGATCTAACTCTTTATTTCCTTCTCAGTTTACACGGTAAAAACTGAAATATCTTCTTTCAGAGCTTCAAGGAGCCTCCAACCACACATGTAATCTATGCTACTAAAGAATGTATCTTTTCTTGGTTAGTTTAAAATATCTTCTGTATCTATGTCAATGCAGAGATTTTCATTGTTAACAAAGAAGCGAAAGTCATGAGAGATTGAAAAAATAGTGTGCTGCATTTTTAACTATTTCTCCATCTTTGTCATTGATCTTTACAAATACTTTTCTTGCATAAAGCGTTTTGGTATTGTGCATTTTTGGTGGTATGTGTATAAACAGCTCTACAAATCACATTATGTTGTCAACTCAATCTTTTAAAAAGAAAAACAAAATCAATAAATTGGTCAAAATCTGAACTTTATTATAAGGTAGCTGGATTAGACACTCTTAATGTAAGATAATAAACAAATCACACCAATAACGACAAAAACCATTTCAAAAAGAAAACTTTTTAAAAACAAGGATGTAGAGAAACCAAACAAAACTAAAAGGAAAATTTTGAGTGAGTGAGCATACCACTGTCTTGAGATCTTCTTCATGAGAAAAAACCTGCGCAGGAACATGAAGGTGAGTTGTTCATGTTGAAGCAAAAACAGTTTATGGAAGAAAAACACTTAAAAAAGTGCACTTTCTTTGAAAATGATGAGTGAATGGAAAAGAGTAAGAGTGTGTGTACCTTAGAGGTAACCACGAGAACAATGGCTAGAAGAAGAATGGAATTGGAAGCCATTTCTGGAGCAGAGACCAGAAATGTGGGAAGAAGAGTGTAGAGCTTGTTGGACAGTGTTAAGAAAGAACTGCTTCTAGTTGTATTATATAGAGGTCAAGAGAAAAAGTTAGGCACGGTAGCAGAAAAACACGTTTTTGGTTTGAGGAGAGTTGTAAATAAAATTTTGAAATATATATTTGTTCTAAGTACATTTTAATAATTTATTTTAAAATTTTTTTATAATAGATTATATATTATTATTTTATTAGTGTGTATATTTAGAATAGATTTTGTATATTTAGAATAGATTTTCTTGTTCGAAAATATAAGGATAAAATTAATTTATAAGAGTTCTGTGAAAATTTTATGTTATAATTTGTGAGATTAAATTAAGTTTAAAGTTTACTTCTTAATATAATATTATACTTAGAACTAATTCTAATAATATTTGTTATTGTTAAATATGTTGAGATAAAACTAATTTATATTATATAAATTTATATTATATAAATATGTATAAATTTCACTTTCTACTTGATTTTATGGGTTAAATTACACTTAAAATTCATTTTTTAATAAAAAAATATGTTTTAAATATTTGTCTCAAATTCTGAATAAGGTTTAACACTGTGTAAAAGTGAAAGTTGAAAAAAGTATAATGTACAAGTGAACAGATTCATGTATTTATTATTTTAAGATTATAGATTGAATGCTATGTTATGTTATCTTGTAGTGTGAGTGATGAAAATATCTGAATTTTTTTCTGTCATGAATTTCTCAGAAAACCCTCCAAAGAAAATACAATGAAAGAAAGGATATCTTACAGGCAGAAAGCAGAGAAATATTGTTAAAAATTTTGGTTAGGTTATATGATTAATACATAGCTGTCAGCAAGTTACACTGACTGAAACAGCTTCGACCCACGTGCCTCTAACATTGTGTCTGTGCAAGTAGCATTATCTTAATGCAGTGTTCTTATGAGAGTGTGTTAACACTAATCAATGCAGATGATGTTTTTGAGAATTTGACTGAAATCCACAACCTATAAAGTTAATGACATAAGTTCTGACGAAATCTTGGTTTGACAAACCAACTATAGTCAAACTAATGCAATTGTTTTGAATTTCTTAGGCCACCCAAAGCTTAAGGCTGTGTGGTTTTTTGGGTAGATTTGGGGGAAATGATTTGGGGGAGATGATTTGAATGGATTTGAGTGGATTTGAGGGTAATATTTTAGTTATTTTTTTGAGTGGATTTGTGAGTAATTGAGAGTGGATTTGGAAGTAAAGTTGGTGAGAATTAGTGTAGGATTTGATTGATGTGATAGATTTTAAAAATTAGTTTAATTGGTAGAAATTAAAGATTACCAAAATGCCCCTAGTTATAAAAGTAATATAAAATGTTAATTTAATTGTAAAAATGTTTATAAAGAAAAAAAAAGTTTAATACCCAATTTTGTCCCCAGTTTGATTGGCAAATCTCAATTTAGTCTCTTGTTACAAAAGTGTTTGAAATAGGTTCTTACTTTTAAATTTTTGAGTCAAGTTAGTCCCTTCCGTTAAATATAACCAAACGGAGTTAATGGGATGATGATGTGGCAGAATGCAATGATAACGTGTTATTCTTATATTATATGCACAGTGACGTGTTAGAAGTTAAAGAAAGTTGGAAGGGAAAGTTGAAAGGGAAATAAATTTGAGTCTCTGTTTTCTTGTATTTTGTGGATTTGAGAAAGTCTCTGTCTTTGTTGAAAGGGAAATCACCCACTACATCTCAAATTCACTAGAGAGAATGAAAACAGAAGAAAGATAAAATCAAGGTGGAATCAACTCGAAATAGCAACATTCATGATGAAAAAGATGCATTTTTTTGGATTACATTCGAGAAGGGTAGAGGTGATTTTAGCGAGGATGAAGAGAGCGTGAGCTCGTTGAAGAGGGGGCATTTGGGAGAGGGTTTGAGGGTCGGAGAGTGACAAAAAGTCGTTAAAATGCGTTCGGAGTAGTTGAAGGTAGGAGAGATTGGCGTTGGCTGCATCCATAACCGGCTCAGGAACTGCACCGCTCTCACTTGCTTTCACCATTTTGAAATTAAGAGGTTAGAGCAGAGAGAGAAGATGCTAGCTACCATCACTATCACACAGGTACACACAGAACACGGGTACAAGGTAGGGTTTGGTTCTTCTTTTATGCCACAAAATACAAGAAAACAGAGAGTCAATGTTGTTGGGTTGAAAGGGAAAGTTGAAAGGGAAAGTTGCAAGGGAAAGTTGAAAGAGAAGGTTCAGAATTTTTCTAGGTTTGGATTTGGAAGGGGAAGCTGAAAGAGAGTTCCCAAATTGGGAAGTGAATCAAAGACAAAATTTGGCTGCCCCATCTTCCCGAGACAAATTCAGTGAACGTCATGTAAGCGGGGGCGAACGGAGGAAGAGGCGAAACGGTAATGGGTGGTGGCTGCAGTATGATGAAAGCGGGACGAACGATGTCGTATTTGGAAGGGTGAGTATCAGAAAATATAATTTTTGACAATTTAAAAATAACAATATCCAGCTCAACCTTTAACAACTTAACATGTCACCGCATACAATATAAAACTAATATAAAAATGACTCGTTATCACTGCATTCTGCCAGATAATCAATCTCTTAACTCCGTTTGATTATATTTAACGGAAGGGACTAATTTGACTCAAAAATTTAAAAGTAAGAACCCATTTCAAACACTTTTGTAACGATGGACTAAATTGAGATTTACCAACCAAATTGGGGACAAAATTGGGTATTAAACCAAAAAGAAATTATGAATGATTTATAAAATTAATGTTTAAAAATTATAAAAATTAAATAATCAACTTATTTTTAATAAATTAGAAAATATAATATACCTAATTTTATTAAAATGTACATCTTTTTAAATTATAATATTAAAATAATTATAAAAAAAACTGAAAAATATATATTGCGTAACCGGTTACGCGTTTGCAACTTAAATACACAGACAGAATCAGTTATTCATGATGTACACGATTGGAATTTAACTAATAAGTGGAGGGCATACATGACATTTCCGTAAGAATCCACGCAAATCTCCTCGTTCATGCGAGTGACCAAAATCGGATGAATCCCGCAAATCCGTCTTCGCTCATCCATCTTTATCAGCTGAAACGAACATGACAATTGAACGAATTCATCACTCACATTTCAGCATGAACAGTATTTTTCGTTCATGCGAACACAGTATAAGAGTTCTTCATCACCCAATTCAATTTGGTTTAAGTCTTTACCCAAGTCATTTTGGAAACAAAATTGTGTTGAAAATTTAAGTTTGACAAAAATTTAATATAGAAGTTGGATAGATATGTACATTTATTTAGGAAAGTTAATAAATTTATTATATATAAGTAAATTATTAGTGATTGATGTTGTAAAATCTCATGTTTAATCTTCCTAAAAAAAATTTAGAATATTAAATATAATGTTAAATTAAAAATTTTAAACTTTAAAATATTTTTATTTTTAAATTTTAAAAATGAATTAATATAATTTTTTTAATATAATAGTATTGATTTTTTTTATTTATATCAAATGGTATTTCAAACTGATATTTAAATTGTTTACACCATTTAGTTTACACCATTTAATATATTTTAATTTAAATGTTAATACGTGAAAATTATCTAAAAGAATTTATGTGGTTAGATTAAAAGAATTACATCCTTTTATTTTTTAACTTTAAAAAATAAAATGTATCAAAATTTAAAATAAAATCAAGTTTTTTTTTTATAAATTAAAGGCATGTTTAATTTTTTTTAAACAATAATATTCAGTAGTAAAGGTGGAGGTTCTTATTTCTTATCCATAAAAACTAGTTTATGTTAGAAAATTTACCATTACTCACGTATTCTAATAAACCACTTTAGTTAGACTCGTGATTTTATTGTATGATTCAATGTGATGAAACTTATAATAATAAAATATGTTTAAGTTTTAACTATTTAAATATGTTATAAAATGAAGTATTTCAATGAAATATTTGTATGGTTCATTACCTTAGAAGAAGAAGATGAAATCTTTGATAAAGGAGATGCATGACAAGAAAATACAAGCACAATCAAAATAAAATGATATAAAAAAATTAAAAATAGACGAAAAAGTTAGAATAGTTAATTAACCCAAATATTTTTGGATTAAATATGTTTTTAGTCCCTAAACTATTGGTCGTTTCTGGTTTTCGTCCCTCTTTCAAAGTAAGGTACAATTTGGTCCTCATTGTTTTCGAAAACGTTCGTTTTAGTCCTCGAAAACTAACACCGTTTAAAAATTTGGTCCTCATTTAACAGCAAAATGAGGACTAAAACCAAAGTTTCGAGGACTAAAACGAACGTTTCGAAAAGAATGAGGACCAAATTGTACCTTACTTTGAAAGAGGGACGAAAACCAGAAACGACCAATAGTTTAGGGACTAAAAACATATTTAANACTAATATCATAGTATTTACAAACTTTGTAATTTTTTTACATTTTCTTCCAAAAAAAATACCCACTCAATCAGATAAAAAAATTAGGAGAATAATCATTCTTGCCAAAAGAAAAAGAAAATGTTTTATGGTGTGATATTCTTTACAACTAGTTAGAAGAAATACCATATCATGAATGTGAATTGGTAGCTTTAATCAGAATCACATCTTCAAGAATATTGAAACCAGTAATTTGTCTTTCTTATTGTACTACAAAAGAAAACACTTAGTTATTGAAGTTAAACATATAAGAAAATGAATTACTTGATCTTGTATTTTTCTTTGCACCACAAATCAAGTGCATTAGAGAACATTTATCATCACCAATATATAGAGGGTCAAGCTTGTGATTTTCTAATTCATCTAATATAATTCTTAGTTTAGTGAAAACAGTCATTATTATAGTGTCAACTTGTTTGATTGATGTTAATTCTTGTTAAAGATAAAAACAAAAAGTCCTAAATAAATTCCATTGAGAATATTGTGACCTAAAATCCTCATATACCATGATATCTCACCATATGGTTGCATCACTTCCAAACTCAAAATAAGGAATTATTCAAAACTAGTTGATGGTAAAACT